AATTGTGAGTTAACTATATTACCTCTCATTGTAATAGGATCGCATCCTGGATTCGGCCCAGGGAGAAAAAGTTTTGGACTTCCCTGAATCATGGTTATCTCCCATAAGCCCTTCATGCTTGGCCCTGTCAATACCCAATAGAATGTACAACATTGCAGGGAGCTTAATGGCAGCTCAGTGTTAGTATGGCCAAGGTGGAGCAGCTGAGGCTTGGTGATATTTGAGTTACAATTCAATATGTATGTGTTGAGTGGCTACTGTGGGAGTCACTAGTATGAATAAAGATCCTTCTTCATCTAGTCTAATAGAGATGTGTCACAGTTCTAGTAGCAAGGTACAGATAGGAGTTGAGAGGAGAGAGAGAAGGGTTGGGAAATATAGGATGGCTTATGGGAGAAATTAATAATTGGTAGGGTCTTGAAGGATGGCTAATAGTTGACTAATCAGAAAAGAGATGGAGGACCACTCAAAGTGGAGAAAACCTTCAACGGCATAAAGAAGGAAGGAAAAGGCCAGAGAAATTTCCTGGTTTCCTGTTGCTCTTTAGATCAAGATATGGGCTTTGCTTACGCAGCCTTCAACTCTGTCCTCTGGACTGATAATATGAGGCTTAAAAGCTAGGAATCCTTAGCTCTTCATGAGATTTAAAAAAACAAACAAAATATTTTATTTAAATAGGACATACATACAGTAAAGTTCTCGTGGTACAAAAAGCATCAATGGACTTCTTGATGAGTTTCTACCCATGTGCATACCCACATAACTACAATCCCATCAACATGCAACATTTCCAGCACCCCAAGGATTTTGACTTCTATCAATTTTAGAGCTTCATTTAAATGAAATTATAGTATCAGACATTGGTACTTGGTTTTTTTATTGTTGGAATAGTTATCCACTGTATGAATATGTCAAATTTGTTTATCTTTTCTGTTGATGGACTCTTGGATTGTTTTTGCTTTTTGGCTAATATGACTAAAGGTGACAGGAACACTCTTGTGCATGTCCTTTGGTGGAAAATGCACTCATTTCTTTGGGATATATAACCAGGTGTGGTCATGTTGGATAATAGGGTTGTATGTACTCAGCTTTAGTAGATACTCTTCGGCAGTTTTCCTAAGTGATTGTACCAATTTTTCCATCTTCAGTGTATGAGAACTCGAGTTCCTCCACATCCTCGCCAACAATTAGCTTTGCCATCCATTTTGATCTTAGTCACTCTGCTGGGTTCTTCATGAAAAGTTTACCTCATAGTTACCTCTTTTTCTTGTTTATCTAAGTCCCCAATGCTATGCCTTCTCACTACTTGCCTCCCAGAGGTTTTCCATTAACTCTTCAAGGCCTAGTTTTGATCATGCAACAAATGAAGAGCAGGGAGATGGCTTGGGGGAAGAAACAGAAAGGTATTTTGGGGGCTAGTGGGGAAGACATAGAAACTGAAGCATCTAAAATTGTCTGAGAAGAGGTGTTTGACCAAGGGTGAGAGAAGCATGAGACAGGGATCTGTGGGATTGGAAAGTGTTGGGAATAACCAGAAGGCTGGCGGTTCAAACCCACCAGCCATCCCTCTGAAAGAAGATGGGCAATCTACTTCCGTAGTGATACTGCCTTGGAAACCCAAGGAGGGGTCGCTATGAGTCGAAATCAACTCTATGGCAGTGAGTTTGGTTTTTGGTTTTGACTTCTAATCTAGACCATTCAGTCCTTGAGGGCAGGGTGTGGTCCTCTTCATCTGTTTTCCCAGCACAAGAACAATGAATGAGCACCACATACCAGGCACTCAGTGCATGCTTATTGACAAAATGAACAACTGGGGTCTGGGAAAGAGTGTATGTACATCTGTGGGCCTTCTGCAGTCCTGAGCCCACTGGTGCACCAAAGTCCCAAGCCCTGGACCCTATTCAGGGCGATCTAATTTTTAAAGCTTGTTTTGGGTATGAAATAAGAAAATGAAACTGGGAATTCAAATATGTTTAAAGTAAACCTTACTTCATAAATCTTAGCTTCAGAACAAGACCCAGCCAATTTGTGATTGGACTAATTGGTTCCTGAATTCTCAGATAGGAGGAAAAGGCATAAATCAGTAATTCAGTATAATTCTCCCAATCCAGTTGCCATGCAGTCAATTCAAACTCATGATGACTCTTTGTGTTGCTCCATATGTTTTCATGGCTCTGACAGTTTGGAAGCAGATTGCCAGGCCTTTCTTCTGGGTCTCCTCTGGGTGGGTTCCAACCACCAAGTTCTAGGTTAGTAGCCAAGAGATGATTAACTCTTTATGCTACCCAGGGACTCATAAATCTCCCAAAGGCATCAGTATTAAAAAAAAAAAAACTCACTGCTGTCAAGTCGGATCTGACTTGTAGCGACCCCTCCTTGGGTTTCTGAGGTGGTATCACTACAGAAGTAGATTGCCCAACCTTCCTTCTGAGGAGTGGCTGGTGGGTTTGAACGCCAGCCTTCTGGTTAGCAGTCAAATGCCTTAGGCACTATGCCACCAGAGCTCCCTCAGTATTTCCAAGTGGCAAGTAATAAAAATAGCAGGATAAGAAGAGGTAAGAAGGAGTGAGGCTAGGGTATTTTAATGGTCTCTGACACTGAAAGTGGGGCTTGGTGCTTTCTCCAAGAAGGCTTCTGGGATTCTCAAGTGATCTCTAGGATCAATCACCAGGGGGAGGCAGGGGGAGGCAGGGGGAGGCAGGAGGAGGCAAGTCCTCAGAAGGCAGGCCTCTGGGAGCGTATGTGGCCTCTAGGCTGGGCTTCTCTGGGGTTAAAGTTTAGGTTGTGAGATGTCTAGATATGTGCTCCTGGATGCAGTTTGAGAGCAGGTATGGGGTTGTTGTTATGTGCCATCAAGTCGGACCAACTCATAGTGACCCCTCCTTGGGTTTCCGAGGCAGTATCACATCGGAAATAGATTGCCCACCCTTCCTTCTGAGGATTGGCTGGTGGGTTTGATCTGCCAGCCTTCTGGTCAGCAGTCAAGTGCCTTAGGCACTACGCTACCAGAGGTCCCAAGTATGGAATAGGGACTGCCAAACTTACTTATAAACTATATGTGGTGGGATGAGATTTCTGAAATAATTCACCCCTCCTCCCCACTTATCCAATAGCACAGCTTCTTTTTTCACCTGTCCCCATTCAATCAGCTTCTCATCTCAAGAGTGTAAAAGCAAAATGGCTGTTGAGGTTCCTGCTGATTTTCTTCTTAAATTCTTGAAGAGGAAGGCTCTCAGCCTCTTCCATCTCCTGCCCTTTTACACCTTGCTCCCTCTACTTCCACACCAGGGGCTTTTTCTGTTTCCCCAAACTCCTCAAGCATAGGCTTACCTCAAGGCCTTTGCACTTGCTGTTCCCTCTGCCTAGAACCCTCTCATTTCATCTCCACAGTATCATTTCTCTTCCTCATGTCCTTTCAGGTCTTTGCTTAAAGGTTCCCTTTTCTGGAAGGTCCTCCCTGACCACCCTATTTAAAACCACCATTGTACTTCCAATCCCTCTCACCTCAGCACACTTATTCTCAAAAGCCCTTCTCACCAGCAGACATATTGTGTCATTAAGTATTTGAAGAAGTAATTTCTTGTTTGGTGGTTGATTTTTTGTTGTTGTTGTTGTTGTTAACCTCCCAACAAGGTATATTCCAATGCACTGTAAGTAATGAGTTTGACACAACAGATGCCCCCAACATCAAGTTGTAGGATCCCCAACACACACACCTGGCTATGAAACCTGGCTCCACTGCTCACTATATGACTTTAGCAAATCCCTTAGGCTCTTTGAACCTGTTTCACCATCTGTAAAATGGGGACAATAATCATTCCTCCTTGCTAAGAATTGCTGAGAATTACAGCTCTTAGCCCAGTCTGACACATAGTAGACACTCAGTAAAGATTAACAACCCTAACTTAGTTGGAGTCCTAATGCATTTTCCTCCTCTATTTCTCCTCCCGGGCCCACTTGCCCAATAGCACAGGTTTCAGTCAACTTACTCCTTTATGTAAACCCAGCAGTGGCTCTCTCAGTTTAGGTGTTTCCAGCTTTGGTCTGCTGTGGCTACCTGTCTCACCTTCTAGGTTGTGAGTTCTTTGTTGACAGGGGCCACATCTCATTCACATTATCTGCCCTCATCCAGTATCCCTCCTGCAGGTAAAATGCGGGACAAATCACTAAACATTGTGCCTTCCCTGCTTCCCTCCTTAAAAGAAAACTCTACCCCTGGAACTACAAGTCTGTTTCTTCTGGTCCTGGACATCCTGAAGCCCCAGGACCCCATGCCCTAGGTTCCTGTGGGCTTGTTTCCCCCATCCCTTGCCTTGTATAACAGAGGGTGTGACCCTGTGGGGGCTCTGTTGCCAGCACCAGCCCTCCCTCCACATTCTCATGTTTTTGCACAGGAGGCTGCTAGGCTCAGCACTCCTTGTGATGGCTAATTACTTTGTGAAAGGTTTTGAGCTGGACTTTAAAACCAAAAAGCTAGGATGGCCTCCATGGCCCCTCTAGTTGGGATATTCATGCTGTTTTTCGAGATTCCCTTTGTTTTTGTTCAAATGCTTCCTTTTTTTTAATTCCAAAAGGCGGCCTCTTGGAAATTTTGTAACCTCAACTTCCAACATTTTAGATTTGGTCTTTTTCCCCTTTATTCCCATCTTTAAACCACTGTCCTCTCCTGGGGTGAATCAGCACTATTAGGCCAGAGGGAAATAGTGAGACTATAAAAGCAAAATCTTGCTCTTTTGCAAAACCATCTTCCTTGAATGACAAAGTGGGGTTAAATTTTACATAGATTTTACAAGAACTGCATATAACCAAGAGCTGATAACCCATAAAATGTTATGAAAAAGGAGGCAGAGCCAAAATTAAAAATGGTCCCTCAGAGCCAGCCATTTGTTCGACCCCCCTCCTCTCCTCTCTGCAGCAGGAACTCTGATTCCAGTGTGGAGCTTTGCTGCAGGGGCACTGTACCTGCATGTTCAACTAAGAAATTCAGACCACGACAGCCATGCCACGAGGTGTGTTTTATTTTCATTAATCGTACAAATAATTTTCTATAATATCCCAGGGCAAACCGAAGAATTTGGTAGTCCCTTCAGAGACCCGCAGGCCGGTGGTACTGGCGCGGAGTGCCCGGGTTCACAGTGCAGCTTGTTGCTTGTGTCCATCTTGGAGGTGGCTGGCTCTTCCTCCACATCACGAATGGGGTCTCGAAGAAGACGAGGGGAGGTGGAGAATCCTCCAGAATCTTAAGAAATTTCACTCCGTTTCTCCTGCTCAATGGCTGTGGAGAGCGGAAAGTGTGCATTGGGGATATACAAGTAGGATACCTTGCAAATTCCCAGCTGGGAAAGAACTCACAACCTAAGGGATTTGCTAAAGTCATATAGTGAGCAGTGGAGCCAGGCAAATTACAAGCCTGGTGTGGGCGAGGCACCACGAGGTTTGGGGTTAAGAAAAGAGGCTTGGGGCTGGGGAGAGACAAGGCATTTTATGTAATATAAAGGGTGGCTGGGGCCGCCCAGAACCAAGGCATGGGCGAGGGGACCTGAATTGGCAATGGAAAGGTGGGTTAGGAGGCTGGGGGTCCACAGACCAGGAGGCGGGGGCGCACTCACTCTCTTTGGTCGGCAGGGTGTTCTTTTCCTGCGTCTCCGTTTTTTTCAGCTTGGCCTTATCGAAGCTGGCGATTTCCCCCATATCCGGCTTGTCTGCCATTTTCTTAAAACAATCCTAGTGAGCAAACCAAAGCTATTGGCCCGGCGTGGAGAGGCTAGGGGCCACCGTTCCCCTTCGCACTCTTGGCCGACGTCTCTCGACGTGGCACTCCTGCCAGGGCGTTCCCAGCAGCCCCGAAACCAAGGGTCTGGGAGAGTCCCGCAACCCACTCTGTAGCCTCGGGACGGGGCCGGCCCGCCCGGGCGTCCCGTCGGGGTAGGGCGCCTGTTGCGGCTGCAGAGCGCCTGCCGGGTGAACCAACTCTAACCCCACCGCGGTCGGGCCCCCGCCCCAGCACCGCGCTCACCGAGGCGTCTCGCTCCCAGCCAAGGTTCCGGGGACTCCCGCTCCTGTAGCTGCAGCAAGAGACAAAAGAGTGGCGACCGCCCCTCTCATTATATACGCCGCGCCCTGCCCCGCCCCTCGCCCGCCGCAGCAGGGGCGGTGCTGCCAGCGGAGGGGCGGGGGCAGCACGGACAGCTCGCTTCCTTGTCGCGCCTTCAGCGGAACTGCCCGCGGGATTGGGGCGTTGCTCCTCCCGTGCCCGTTGACCTAGTATCCTGTGTCCCCATCTCGCCCTGTATAGCGGCTGCTGGCGCCTCGAGGATGGGCGCCCCTGGCGCCAAGGCCCAGGGTTTCCTTCTGGGGTCTCCCCTCCCCCCTGCGGGAATCTGCTGCTTGCCCCGCAGAATGGGCGTGGAGGCCGGCGGGGGAGGGGTGTGTGTCGTTGTGGGTGTGAATGTGCGAGCGTGCACGCACGCCCTGCAGCAATCCCTGCTCGCAGGAGACACCCCATCTCTGTGCAGTCCCCTTGACTCCTCTCTATGCCCCTTCAGACCCTTTCCTCGCTCACACTTTTTCTCTCTTCCGGGAAACTAAACCCTTGCGTCGTCTCTTACTAATCCGGCGGAGGGTTCTAGAGCTGAAGGGGGCCGGAGGGGTGGGAGGAGAGACGGGGACCAGTAAGTTTCTAGTGCTGTTTGCTCAGTTTGGAGGTCAGTTTCCCTCTTATGTCCCTTCCCTAAACTGGGCGGGTCCTGCAGAAACCATGGCGGCGGGTGTTTCTTAAATACTACGTGCATTGTCTGAAGGGTGGTGGTGGGAACAAGGAAGCCTGAGGAGTATGAGGTCTTTCAGTGCCCTCCTAGGAGCGCTGTGTTGGAGGGTGCGCTTTCCCTCCTTGAGTTAACCTTTAAGAAGCGTCAGACCCATATTCCTAGAAACATTCCTGTTTTTTCGTGTTAACCTATTATAGTTGTTGTTATGTGCCGTGGAGTCAGAGCAGACTCATGGCGACCCCTCCTTGGGTTTCTGAGAAAGTATCACTACGGAAGATCGCCCAAACTTCCTTCTGAGTGGCTGGTGGGTTTGAAACGCCAACCTTCTGGTTAACAGTCAAGTGCCTTAGGCACTATGCTACCAGAGACCTATTATAGTTGTTGTTGTTGTTGTTATATGCCATCCAGTCGGCCCCAACTCATAGCGACCCCTCTTTGGGTTTCCGAGGCATATCACTACGGAAGTAGGATTGCCCAACCTTCCTTCCGAGGGAGCTCTGGTAGCATAGTGGCTAAGACACTTGCC